TTAACTCATATTTTGCCCATAAGTCTAGAAATTTGGCATAATACTTGTTATCTTTCTGTCCTCTTGTCAATAAGCAAATATTTCAGATTCGATCTGATACTGTCTAGACATATTTGATTGATGATTAACTTTCTTCAGATAAGCATACATTTCATAGGTTGTTCGCATTCTTTGCATAGGTACAGCAATATAGGTCTGTATAGAACTTAAAATCCAAGACACCAATTTTCCATTATCAAGCTTCCATTGCTGGTAAGCTTTGGCTTCAAATTCATCTGGTTTAGTAACTTTTCCATTTAGATAACTTTCCAAGCTTTTTGCTTCAACAGAAAAATCAAAGTGGAATTTTCACATGCTGTAATTAGTTCAATCAAATTTCATCGGGATAACATCAACCTTGTCAGCCATCCTAATGAATAACCACAGTCCAGAAGAATAATAGCTATGAACTCAAGGCCAAAAGAAGGATAAAACAAGGCTGTCATCCAACCAAACCCGAGTCAAACTGAGTAATAGTGATATAAATAGTCAAACAACACCCAAGAGATAAAAAATCAGTCGAAAAACGAACCAGACAAAGGTGTTAACAGGTGACAGTCCAAGAAATGCAAGTTTACTGGACTGTTGACAAAAGATGAGGGAAGGATACCATCAAAGTGGGTTGAGGAACTTGAAACTCACTATATACAGCTTTTTGAGGAAATGTTGAATTTAAAGGTGAATTTAGAGGAGATAGGTGGAAGAGTGTGCAGGCATCTTATGGTGTGTGGTGTCCAATTGGGCAGTGAAGTATTTAGGGCTGCCCCTTGAGGATAATCCAATGAGACAAAATTTTTGGAACCTGGCGGTGGAGAGATTTGAAAAGAGATTAGCTTCTTGGAAGAGAAATTATTTGTCTCTTGGGGTAAGAGTCACTTTGATAAACTCTACCTTAGCCAACCTTCTGATCTACTTTATATCAGTATTTAAAGTGCCATAAAGGATTGCCAAGATGTTGGAGAAGCTAATGAGGGATTTTTTGTGGGACCCAGGAGAGGACAAATAGGGTCAGGTGGGAACTAGTGAGCAGAAGGAGTTTGAAAGCTTAGTCCTAGGGAATATTCAAAAGAGGAATGTGGCATTGTTGGATAAGTAGTTATGGAAGCTGTGGACAAACAGTGTGGTGAGTATTCATTGGCTTGTAGGCAATGGTTGGAGTGCTGGAATTTTGTCTAGGACTACAAGAGCTTCTCCCTAGAAAGCCATCCAAGCCTCTTTGCCTCTCTTCTTGCCTTGGAGAAGGTATGGTTTGCACTTCGGTAACTTCATTAATTTTTGGGAACAAGTCTGGATTGGGGATTCTCCCTTGGAGGATCAATTCCCATCATTGTTTTCCTTATCTAATCTACAGAATGTGCCTATTTCTAGTTTCTTGGTACTCTCACAAACATCTTCAAGGTTCAGGTGGAATTTGGGATTGAGAAGAGCAGTTAGGGAGTCAGAATTGAATAGTAACTTGTCTCTCCTAAATATTCTTGAAGGGGTTTTCCTAGATCCCACTAAACCTGATGGCAGGGTGTGGACTCTGTCAATCTCTGGGATTTTTTCTTGTGCATCCTACTTCAAAGCTCTAGTCCAATCATTGGATCCTTTAGGGCAGCCTTTTCTGGTAAAGGCAGTTTGGTGCAAACCTATTCCTCCGAGGGTTGGGAGTTTCTGCTGGGAAGCAATCCTGGAAAGAGTCAACACTTGTGATTTACTTTGAGAAAGAGGCTTAATAGGTACTTATCTCCTCACTGGTGTGTTCTCTGCAGGGCTGAGGGTGAGACTGGTTACCATTTACTGATTTCCTTCTCTTTTACTAATCACATTTGGGAGTGGTGTTTATCTCTGTTTGGGTGCAGGTGGTCACCTCCACCAGATGTACAAAGTCTGTTCACCCTCTCTATGTTCAGCTGGTAAAAAAAAGAGGAAGAGTCATGTGGAGATGTATCAGGGCTGCTGCATCTGGGAAGAAAGGAATGGGAGTGTTTTTTCAGATAGAGAAAGAAGTCTTCCAGATGTTTTGGAGATGATTCAGATTAGAGTGGTGCATCGGCTGAAGTCCTTGGATCTGTTTAAAGATTTCAGTGCCGATTTGTTCAGAAATTTGAAGGAAATTGCAAGCTCAGCCCCAGCTAAGGACACTCCCCTACCTAATTGGACTTCTCCTCCCAGTGGTTTCTTCAAATTAAAATTCGATGGAAGCAGCTTGGGCAATCCAGGTCCTTCAGGTATCAGGGGTGTTCTAAGAAATGAGGAGGGTGTGGTAATTGCTCTTTTTTTGGGGCCAATTGAAATGAGTGATTCTCTCTAGGCTGACATTTCAGCTGTTCTCTCTAGTTATAGAGGGATATTCTAAATTGGTAGTGAACTGGCTGAAAGATAATACCTCTAGTTATTGGAACTGCAGAAATGAGAAGAGGAAATTTAACTGGCTGACTAAGAATATTGAAGTGAAGCTGAACTGGGTGGAAAGAAGCGCTGACTAAGGATATTGAAGTTATTGGAACTGCTAGTTCTGGGCTCTCTTGTAATTTTTTTTGATAGGTAAAAGTTCATTAAAAATTCATTATCAGCAAAAAGATAAATGTCTCTTACAAGCATCCCAAGGGGAGGCGCGAGGTGCAGCTTCTCTCTTTAAAAGAAAACAACACAAAAATTACAACTGGGCCCAAATCAACTGATTTCTAGTTACTCCTTGCTTAGCTAGATAGTCAGCAAATGAATTTATCAAAAAAAAAAAAGATAGTCAGCAAATGCATTAGCCTCCCTTCCCACCCATTGTAAGTCAAATTCATATTGTGAATAAACCCTAGTTGTTTCTAGGTCAAAGTAGAGAAGAAGAAAGAAGAAAGAAAAGAGAAAGAAGAACGAGAGGAGAAAAGTATTCGGCCAGACTAGAAGAGAGGATGTACTAAAAATTCTTCTCCTAGCTGACCCACTTGACTTTTATTCATGAAAATTTGAGTTACAAGAAAGACAATTTTGTCCCTCATAGAAGATGGGACACATAACTTAAACTCAGATACAATAGACATTTCACTTTCAATAAAATTCACCAGAATGACCAAAATACCCGACTCGAGCATTCTAACACATATGTTGTGTTACCCATTTGAATTTCTTCATTTCATTTCTATAACACCATATCACTGGGCTCTCTTGTAATTTTATTCTCTTTGTTTTTTGTCTTTCTGTGGGAGAGTTAAAAGAGCTTATCTCCCCTAAATCTGTAACTCTGTATCTATTTCTCCTTTTATTAATGAAAATTGTGAGTTATTAATAAAAAAAAAATTTAATCCAGTCCAAGAACCAACTGTAGAAATACTTAAAACTGAGCTAGGCGACACAGAATCTGGAGTTTCAAGTTGATTGGTGCAGCCAATCAAGAGAGAGAGAAATCTTCAATACTGTCTGCAATTTTCCAGAGAAATCCAGGAAACCTTGTGCTGAACAGAACAGCTTCCAGAGGTCTTCTAACCGGATGAATAACAATTGATTTAGCAGCCCTAAATCTTCCTTCAAACCTCTAATAGCAGATTTAATCAAAGCCAGGTTTGTAGGACCTGCTCTGATACCATGTCAACCCTAGTTCGAATAAGAAGTAATAGTTTCAGGGGTGTTGAATGAATCAGTCGACCCCACCCCAGAAGGCCTCTTGTATATTAAAGAGAATATATTATGTATATTTACAAGAATGCCCTTATAGGGCTGAAAGAAAATAAAACAATAAAGTTGATATGTACAGTGTACAACAAGGGCTATCCTAATATGATGTATCAAGTCTCTTCACAGGTGAAGGCTCTCACACCAATTAGGTTGTTTCCTTTTTAGAATCTCACTAGAGTTGATTTTCAAATGTTACACCTCCCAACTGGAAGTCCTCACCTTAGGTGGTGGCGTGATGCAGATTTACTCCAAATCTCTTTCACTAGGAAACTTAGAGAGGAAGAGGAGTTAGTAGCAAGGGAAAAATCATAAGAGGAACAAGAAAAGGTACTCAAAGGGTCCAACATCCAAACCTACTGTCAGACTTGGAGGGGCCAAGGAAAACATTCCCTCCAGTTAACACCTGGGGAGGAAAGGGCAGAAAACTAAGAAATAGGTTTAAGTTTGAAAGAAGAGATAGGTTGTACATGGATGGGAATTAATCTCTTAGTGGAGCATTAACCCACCAAAGTTCATCCCAAAACTTATTTCTATCACTAGAATATAAATAATAGCACTATTAAATCTCAAGAAAGAAGGATAAAAGCCAGCAATGGCGTTCCAAGGAGATGTTAAAGTACTTCTTGCAATGAAACCAGCATCCCAATTATTAGGATGAGCACCATGAGTACTCCTCACTACCTAATGCCACAATTTTCTGAGTCATAGTTCCCAAGGTGCCAAAGCAAGGCTAGGTGATAGGAGAAACCTTCCAACCTAGTTGGCTAGGCAGGTGCCTTGGCAACGGATTTTTTAAATTAAAATAATTATTGTATATAATCTTCCTTAGGATCCATAGAAACCACCAACCATCTTTCACTAGTAATTATATATAATCTTCACAAAAAAAATATAAACTTTGTACTGAAACATAGAAAATCAACATATTTATAAGAAAAAAAAAAGATAAGCATAAATTTCAGAAAATATAGGTCTGAGCCCTTGTTTTTGTCCTAGTAAATGAAGAAGAGTGTTTTATTTGGATAAAATTTTAAGTTCTTCCTTGCTTATCTGTTCAAGGTTTGAAGTTTGAGTGTTCAATGTAGCTTGTACCAACATGTATGTTGATGATACCCTAACAAACAAGAAAACCATTAAAATTTCCCCACCTTTGCATGCCAAAATGTCCATGGATATAGCAATTGTGAACCATGATGATGCTTACTCAAGTTCCCTTTGCAAGGCCAAAAGCTCTTTGGCATTGTTTCTCTACCTTAACTATGCTGCTATGTAATAGTCAATTTGGTGTTGATCTTTAACGAGTCATGAAGATATGGTTGGCTGGAGGACATCATCAATCCGCCGCCAACATGAGCTACCAAAGGTTCATTAAGTCTCCTTTTCATGCATTCTTTTATATACTAAAACGATTAAGCACTTATATTTTTATTATTTGTCATTTCCACATTATAAATTCTTTTTCTTCCTTTCCATTTTATTATAGTCCGACTTGCTTTTAAAATATGAGAGGTACCCTCACATTGTATATATTGAGAGTGATAATGATGAAGACTTCCATGAAAAGGCATCTCCTGCTGTCAGCCACCAAATAGTTGACCTTGAAGGTTTGTAAGTTTGTTTGCTAGCTTTGATTTTATTTTTCTTGGTTGGAATTGTTTGTAAGGAGGAAACAAATCATGGAATTAGTAACAGTTTTATATTTCTTGGTTGCATTTTATTGAAATCTTTATTCCTGAGTCCAAGGTTTAGAATGTTGGTCACTTRAGAATGGGAAACATGTCCAAAATATTGGAAATGTCATACAGAAATATTGAATACATTGTGAAATCTTTGGAAATGTTCTATAATTTTTTAAGAAAAGAAAAAGGAAGAATAAGTGAACATACATGCTATTGGAGTTCCCCTTAGTCTCTAAGAATCAAACTTACAATTTCTATTAAAATCCAAGTATATATTTTAAAACCAATTATGTGAATCCATAATATAAATTTAACTTAATAAGTGATAGAATGGAAATAATGATGTTACAATATACATTTAGATATTATATGGTCACCAACTCACCATTATTAATCTGTTTTATTCTTCTTTTAAATGAAATGTTACTTTAATGTGCATAATTACTTATTTGTTTTTATACAACAACTTAAATTTTCTATGTATAAATTTATGTACTTTTGAGAAGCTTATTATCAAATGTAATACCATATGGTCTATATGGACAACATTTCTGACATATTGTGTTGACATTGCTGGAACAGTCTATTTTTGAGAATAAAACAAACTTATGTTAACTGTATGTTCAATTTTGACCAAAATAATAGAACATTTGACTGACTTTTTGGATTTTTTTTTTCTTTTGTAGTGGGGCATTTTGGAATTTTAAAATTTGTTTGAAGTTTCTGGTTCTATGTATTGAAACTGAGACCTGTTGGCTGGACATTTCTGACATTTTTAAACAGTAACGACCAAATTTGTTAATAGAAAATTGAATCAATACAATATCCACCAAATGACTCTAACATCAGCACCCCCCCTCCCCCTAAAGTTTCTCTCCAAAAAAATTCAATTTGGTTTAGCGCTTGCCTTTGACATGCAACGTCTATGTTAGTGATTTATTTTCCCTTGGGATGTATGTATCTATATTTCCAGGTTGCTAATGCTTTGTTCCTTAGCCACCCTACTACTTCCTTTGAGTCCCCTTCCACAACTACCCCTTTGAAATTTAACTCTTTCCCTATTTTCAAACATGGTAGCTTTTCTGGATTCATTCCCTTGTTGAGTCAGCAATCCCAATAGGTCTCGAGTGTTTGCAAGTATGCTCTCAGCCATCCCTAAACTGTATTTATATTAAGTGGCTAATAATACACAAAAGACTGATGTGCCCCTGATTAGTGATGGGATTTTCAGACAAAAAACGAAAAAAGAAGAAAGCTAATTCAGACCCATAATTAGCCATGTTTCAAAATGAAGTAAGGAACCATAATTAGCCATGTTTCATAGACAAGGCTATAGATGGTTATCTCCTTACTTGTATTTCAATATGAGACAAGGAAGAAAAGAAAAATAAAAGGAAGAAAGAAATGAGTGAGAGGAATAGATAGAATATGGTCTTCCATCTCATGTGGGAAGCACAAGGAGTATCATACTGAAGGGGTGTAGGAAGAAAACAAGATTCACTACCTTCTTCTTCCTTTGTTTTTTATTCTCTCCACACCAATCTTCTTCTCTTTTGTCTTCCCACTTGTTTCTTAGTGCTAGAAATCCTGCAGGTAAATTAGTATTAGCCAGCAAAAAGGCATTAGCCCCTTCTCCTTGTAGGAGAGGGGTTTATATAGAGGAGGAAGGTGGTTAAGTAACTCCCCACTCTCTTCTTAGAGTGCCAAGTGTCACCCCACTTAAAATGGGTTATGGAGGGAAAAAAAACTCTTCCTTCCTAAGGTGACAAGTGTCTCCCCACTTAAAGTGGGTTAAGGAGGAGAAGAAAAGTCTCTCCCCTAGGATGACATGTGTTCCCCCACTTAAAGTGGTTAGAGGAGGGAAAATAACTCTCTCCCCTAGGATGACATGTGTCCCCCCATTTCAAGTGGTTAAAGGAGAGAAAATAGCCCTCTTGTTAGAATAGGACAAGTGACATCCCCTTATAATAAGTGGGACACCTCATAAGAAATTAATTAATATAGATTTATTCTTTTAGGGTCTGCCGTTCCATTAAATGGGCTCTACTATTGACTCATTAAATGCTTCTTGCATTACAAACAAGTCCAATTAACTTGGGGCCTGTTGTTCACTAAATTAGACTGTAGGCCCCTTTTTTTACTACAATGTTTCAGCCCACCAATAGGACTGACTTGGCTTTACTAAAATGTCCCATGTTTTAAATTGAAGTTGGCCCAAATTATGTGTTAATGGGCCTGTTGGATTGAAGTCTCTCTATGTACGAGTGTTCGGCTGATAAGAGTTCTTATTAGCCTATACTTAAGTTTAAGTTATCCTGTACTGGGCCTGTGTTAATGGGCCTAAGCCTGTTTAATGTTTTTAAGTTGTCTGGGTGTCCCAYCACTAATCAGGGKCATTCCAGTAATTCCTTGTATCATTGTACTACATTCTAATATAAATAACAGYATTGTCGACTGAACTATTCAGTTCGACATTCACAGCATTTCAGAAGTCTTCTTCTCTTCTCTACTACTTCGAATATGTTAACAGGTGTATTATATGTACTGTACACAGGCTTAGTACCCGCAGGGGTATTTTCCTAATTCTGTAGACATATTGTTATGTACAGCCAAAATAGTATAAATAGAAAGCTTCACTCGACTGAAGCTAAGTTTTGTTGAGGCCTTAACTCAGTTGCCTCTTATTCTTCTTCCTCTTCTCCTTCTTTTCTTCTTCTTTTCTCCTTCTTTTCTTCTTCTTCTTGGTCTCCTGCTCAACATGGTATCAGAGCAGGTCCGTCCAGGCCTAGAAAACAACTAGCTGAGGTCTCTCCACTGCTGCGAAGGAGCTATAGTACTGATGCTTGAAGACAAGGAAGAAGAAGCTTTTCTAGTGCTGTGGTTAGTCTCCACTGCCGAATAGGTCTCTGCTACAAGTATGCTGACTGTTCAACTTCCTAGCACAGAAAAAGGGTTCGGCTACATGTATTTTTTTCTGGTAACTGGGTTGCTTCGGCTAAGAGGATTGTAGAAATCCATCCCAGATGTTCGAAGGAAGGCTCTAACCTGAAGGGAAGTTCGAGTTCATGACTGTACGCCTATTGCTGATACTGAATCTTTTTTTTTTCCCTGTTTATGGCTTCTTGCACGACTGTTAATGTCCCAGAATCTGAGTAGGGACTGTTCCCCTTCCTCCGATTGTATGTTGCACTAGTCTGCTCTCTAAGGGGCTGTTGATGAACCCTAGAACTTGAGTGACTGTTCGGCTGCCCTGGAAAGTGGATATCAGCCGATTAGGTGTGGTGAATCACCACTTGTATTGCTGTTCCTACTGTGTTTTTTTTTGGGG